AGTTACAAGTACATGATACAATTTATTTTCTTTTAGATACGCGAATTTATGCTATTATATTATATTATTGTAACGTAATGACATGCGGTTAAATCTGAAGTATTATTAAATTAAAAGAATTTAATAATTATTACAAATAATTAATCACAAATAATACAAAATGTTTATTAAACTGTTTTGTTTTCTTTCAGAGGCCTCAATCCGAGTTAAACGGCAAGAAGAGAAAAAAGAAGAAAGCTTCGAGAACGAGATTTGTAAAGATAAGGATGCGGGCGAGTGGTTCAGATTGGTCGCGGGCGAGGGTGACAATTGCCGTGACGTTATTCAGTGCACGAGTTCCGGTCTGCAAGCAATAAGATGCCCAGCTGGTTTGTACTTTGATATCGATAAGCAGACCTGCGACTGGAAGGATTCCGTCAATAACTGCAAGCTGAAGAACAAAGAGAGGAAGGCCAAGCCTATGATTTACACTGAAGAACCACTCTGTCAAGATGGCTTGCTCGCGTGTGGTGACGGAGCCTGTATTGAGAGGGGTCTCTTCTGTAACGGAGAAAAGGACTGCACTGACGGCTCTGATGAAAACATTTGCGGTAAGTCGACGTTAAAGGAAATTAGTAATCTTTATCGTAATTTATCGTGAAAAATAAAAAAAACATTTAAATTTAGAATATTTGCAATCTTTTCGGCGTTCCAGATATGGACAATGATCCCAATAGAGCTCCACCATGCGATCCTTCTGTGTGTACCCTGCCTGACTGCTTCTGCTCGGAGGATGGTACTACGATACCCGGTGATCTTCCGTCCAAGGATGTTCCTCAGATGGTCACAATTACTTTCGACGACGCCATTAACAATAACAATATTGGCCTCTATAAAGAGATCTTCAACGGCAAGCGCAAGAATCCAAACGGCTGCGACATCAAAGCAACCTTCTTCGTATCGCATAAGTACACCAACTATTCTGCGGTCCAAGAGATGCATAGGAAAGGTCATGAAATCGCCGTCCATTCAATCTCGTAAGAATTGACTTCTTCTAATAACACTGTCATTTCTCTCATTTACATGCCATTTAGAAAACTCCGTCCCGATTTGATTTTCTTTGCGAAATTACCACGGAGAGACCCGTTCTTACGCAAGGTCCCAGGAAAGCAGGTTCATGAGTTCGTAAATTGGAGGACAGGTTCATGAGTACGCCTGTTCTCACGATACGTCATGTCATGTCATGTCATGTCGCTCATGACCATAGTCATAATTGTTAAAAATCAGAACATGGTCACTACATAATGCTTACATGACAACTTTGGGGCAAGGCACAATGATGACGAGCGCTTCTGGTCGGACGCTACCGTCGATGAGTGGGCTAAGGAGATGGCTGGCATGAGGATCATCGCCGAGAAGTTCGCAAATCTGACGGATAACAGCGTGGTCGGCGTTAGGGCGCCGTATCTGCGGGTAGGCGGTAACAATCAGTTCACCATGATGGAGGAGCAAGCCTTCCTGTACGATTCTACCATCACTGCGGCCTTGAACAACCCTCCGCTGTGGCCATACACCATGTACTTCAGAATGCCACATCGTTGTCACGGAAATCTTCAACACTGTCCCACTAGGTGAATATCAATCCTGACCATAAAGAATTCTTGAACGCATTTACAATGATAGTTGTTCTAAATATGACGAATATTTGCAGATCGCATGCCGTGTGGGAGATGGTGATGAATGAGCTGGACCGGCGTGAGGATCCACAAAACGACGAGTATCTGCCCGGCTGTGCTATGGTGGACTCGTGCAGTAACATCTTGACCGGCGATCAATTCTATAATTTCCTCAATCACAATTTCGATCGTCATTACGAGCAGAATCGTGCTCCTCTCGGTCTCTATTTCCATGCCGCTTGGCTGAAGAACAATCCCGAGTTCTTGGATGCCTTCTTATATTGGATTGATGAAATCCTGCAGAGCCACAATGATGTGTACTTTGTAACGATGACTCAGGTGATCCAATGGATTCAGAACCCGCGCACCATTACTGAGTCGAAAAACTTTGAGCCTTGGCGGGAGAAATGTACGGTGGAGGGACCACCGGCGTGCTGGGTGCCCCATACCTGTAAACTGACCTCGAAAGAGGTGCCCGGCGAGACCATCAACCTTCAGACTTGTGTCCGCTGTCCCAACAATTATCCTTGGGTGAATGATCCGACTGGTGACGGCTTCTTTTAAACTGCCGAGCGCGATTCTCCTTCTCGTCTAAGTCAAATTTCTTCTCTTTCTCCTTAGTTCTGCCAATCCTTTCCTCCCTGTACCTCAACCTAATGTCGGTCGAAAGGCACATCGCAAGTCTTCGCGATCCAATTACGGCGCCGAAAGTCATCGATCAACGTCAAGTACTCTCTCGAGACTTTCGAGAACGATGGTGATTACGACGACGAGACACATGGAGGAGACGAGGAGAAAGATCATCATTAGTCCATTAGACTTCGATGATCGCCCTTAGTTGACAATATTTTTCGCTGTTTTTATCGTTGAGAACGACATATCTGTGATGATTAGTTCTGTTCAATTGAAATAATAGGGAGTCTAATGGACTGAAGATGAATGGAGTAAAATGAAACTTTATTCGCTTCGTGTTCATAGATGTCTCTTTAGCAATGACGTTTAGCTTCGTCTTCAGGTTACACTCGAAATTAGCGCTCTACGTAAAAGGAAAAACGCTATATTTTTTTGCGTGCCTCGTTATCAGCTGGTAATTGAAGCTAACGTTCATTATGCGTCAGTAATTTGTGATAGACTCCCGAAGGCGACATTCTCGAAGTCCATGAGGCGACAATGACGACCATGTTGACCGATCATAAAAACGACAATAACGATGACGATGACGAGAGCTGCGCATATTTCCACTCGAAACCGGCAGAAGCAAAAGCAAAATATCGCGCCCCACCCGATTTCACGAGGAGAAATCACAGATCCTTCGATGGCGGTGGCTTGGCGATCCACGAGTGGGATTTCATATGTAATATAATCCCCCCTCGCTCTTATCGCATTTCCGATGTCCCAATGAAAGCAACGATCGATATCGATCTATCGGTAAACACGTGCTTTCTTCCCGTTAAATCTCCTTTCCCGTCCCCAATCCTCGAAGATCGGCAATTGTTCCCCGATTTGAGGTATGCCCTTATTTTTTTAAGGGTTGCCGATATAAATATATATATATATA